ACAATCTACACATTTACATGGGTATATATCATACAATGTCACATGGGCCTAAGTTGAGTCAATTGGGTTCAATGTTGATTGAGACTTTAACCCAAGTCTTAACCCCAAATTTAGGTTAGTGTTGAGTTTTCATGCCCACTCCATCTTAAAGCACCAATTAGGTTGGGATGACTTAGATTGGGTCTTCCTAAGTTGCAATCCTAAATTGTGGGCTCCCAAATACTTCAATGAACTACGACTTTCCCCCTCCACATTGTAATAATTAGATGTTGTCTTAATTTATCTATGCTTAGTGAACTATATTGTAAGTATGATTTTTCGGAAAAGTGATGTTTATTATTGACAAACTTCTAAAAGTTTAGCATTCTCTTTGAGGTGGTGTGGTTGACCTCCTTGGGTGCTTACCCTTTGCACTCTTAATATCAACATCCCTTACTGTGCAGCCATGGTTAATCGTTAGTAATGATGTGCGATCTAACGCTCCTTGTTGGTGAACAACTTGGATGCTAGATTGAGTAGGTTGCCTGGTCGAGCTGTAAGAGATAAGTTATTAAAGTGTTTGGGTTGCTATACCTGGGGTGGGCACTCCAATGCTTAAGTCAACGAACTAGGTGTATAGCATAGAAAGAAAGAGAGCTAGTAGATTCTGAGAACTAAATTGCGAGTACCTTTTTTCTGAGGAAGGGGATGCCTTTATATAGCCTTACAGTTGTGAGCTCCACGAAGCGCATCCAAGATCTATGGTTTGTCTAGTTTGAAAGTGGTTTCACGCTCAAATACAGACTCCGCGTAAGCAGGTAGTGCTTATCCAGTTGCATCCGAAATGGGTGGGGCAGCAATTAGTTCCATCGATGTGGCATCGTGATCCCGAGAAGTCGGAGACAATAACTTGTTTGAGGATATTGCCCGTCACGCCATGCAAGCTGCTAGTTGAATCTCTACTAGGTTGGCGGAGACAAGTTGCCTCTTACACTGACTTGACATCTTCTGGTTTGTCAGCAGGTCGTCCTATTGAGGTGGGGCCAAGGAGGTTGCAATAGGTGCGAGGTGTCTGAAGTGCTCCCGAAGTCCGCTTACATGGCATTGAATTGTCGTCTAACAGTTTTGTAGAACCACGTGTCACGATGTCATTGGAGGGCCAAATTACCCCTCATCAATTAGTATGGATACTAGGGTTCCTCATGAGCGCACAATCACTTATGGGAACAATACATGGACTGGCATTGCACAATGCACATGAATGAGAGGCTTTGCATGTGGATTTGGCCTAAGCATGTCTCTTTACCTTGCCAACCCCATGTCTAAGCTAATCGAGTTACCTCGTTCTCCAAGCACACAGGTGTGTTCACAATACTTAATGGTTGCTTAATATCAACATTGGCATAGTCCCCCTTTGACACATAAGTGATGCCTTCCATGGATCGAAAAGGACACACACACAAGCCCCGATCATGTGCACATGAAGTCATAATCCAGTGCCACTAACCTTGATGAAACCATTCAATAGATTGACACATAAACTTTACACATAAAAGACTAGCAAGCCTAAACTCTACATGAGTTTCTTTTGCTACAAAATCTATCCCTATCACAACATGGAAGTCACATGTGTATGATCCAATAATTTGAGAATTGAATAATCATTTGGTGTTCCTCCAAAAATAAAGGTGTGAACTTGGACTTGCATAATTTAGTAGACCTCACTTGCACCCCATTCTATTCTGATCTTTAGTCTAGGGGTGAACAAGAGTTAATTTGATTTGGGCTTAGCACCTATATTAAGGCTATAGCTGTGGCTTGGGTTGGGTGGGGCCAGAGTTTAGGCATATGTCACTAAACAGTTTGTATTTAATATACATAATTATTATCAAGTGATGGATGAGTTGGTTGGTATAGTCACTAGCTGAATAGAGGATATTTTATGATCAAATCCAACTACCGCCTCACCAAGGTTAGGGGGTTATGGGTATGGGATAGACTACCCATTGTTTTGCTCAATCAAAACAACAACAATAATAATAAACTAAGCTCAAAACAATGTAAAATTTAAACTCAGGCCAACCTGAGTTGCATCCATAGCCTTCACAATAAGAAGGAATATGGCTTTTTGATAATATCTCTACCTAGTTGGAGTTAAAACTTGGGATCTAATCCTTCCATTGCGGGTTTTGGGGTGAAGGGGTTTTATTTCATGTTATGGACTTATGAGCTATCAATGGATCAGTTCTATCCGATTGGTCGAACTGAACAGATTATGTCAAGTATGGCTCTATCATTATGTGGATTTATAATCGGGACAGTTTTGATTCTTGCTCGTGAATTTAGACTTTGATTAATCAACCATTAACAACCGCCTAATGTTTATAGAATAATAATTTCCTCTTCTCAAGTTTCAACCATTACTTTTACATCGTCAGTTCTTCATTTCCCTTGCTTTGTTATTCTTCCTTTCTCTTTTATTTTTAATAAAAAAAAATCACTGTAAAAGAATATAATTCCTCCTCTATGGTGAAAGCTTATTGCAACGAAAACATGTACATCTACACGCACCCAAATCCAAAATCCAATGGACCTTCTTCCTAAACAGAGACAAACACAGTGCTGACAAACTCACCGAGCCCCTCCCATCTATCTACATCTCTGATTCCAAAACTGAGAAACCTAGAACAACCCATGGAGGCTTTCTCCATGCCCATACTTCTTTTTTTGTTCACACTAGTCTTATAATCCTCCCATGCCAAGACCATTGCTGTAGATGAAATTGCAGAGTGGAGGAAACCAACAGTTCACGCAGGGGATGAAATTGGTAAATATTCAACTAACAATGCACACATATACTCATTAGTGAATAGAGAGCCAAGGTAAGTTAAGTTAGGGCCATTTATTAAATTTTTTAGTTGCAGTTGAAGCTAAAATGTTTAACCTTCGACCCTTCTAGTGACAATTTTCAAATATGAATGCCACCACAACGTCTACATTTTCCACAACAAAAGAGAATTCAAACTTTGCAACTGAATCCATACTTCTAAATGAATCCAACTCCACCTCCTTCATGGTAGCATGTCTCTTTCCATTTATGCTGAAATTTAAATATGGGTTCCTTATGGATGAAATTCGTTTTCTTCTTCTGAATCTCTTCTTTTATGTCATTTTGTTTGATAATTTATTTTTAATATGTTATGTTTGTGCCTTGAATTCTTTGTGGTGACCTGCTTCATGAATCTGCTCCAAATTATTTTGAAAAAAACCTGAAAGCAAATTTTCATAGTATTTTTTGGTGGATGTGTAGACAATGTGGACCCGATCTATATTCATCTTATAGGTCCCAACCAAATATGGAGAGTTATGTATTTTATGGGGTTTCCTCTCTTGTATATAGAGTCTTAGTCTTGTGAGAGACGAGAGAGACATTGGGTGTATTGGGGGCTTAGGGTTTTCAATAAGGGCATAACTCTGTATTTCTTCTCCATTACTAACTTCATAGTGGATTTTTGTTCCTCCTTCGCCCATGGACATAGGCTATAAGCTGAACCACGTAAATCTATGTGTGTTTTCTGTGTTTGTTTCTCTTTATCTCTGTTTTACTTTCTTTTTGAGTACCATTCGAATTTGTTTTCTTGGGTTTTTCTGCAACATAATATCTTTCCTATTGCTTAGCTCAGTGGCACCCATTAGTCCTTGGCTATGCATACTTTTTTTTCAACAATGACTCACTGAAAAGCCTGTTTAGAGGCTGAGAAGCTCGCCATATGGGTATTGCCAACTCTGTTGGGTAACTTGGCTCCAGTGCCGGAGTCTCCACCACTAGTAGCTCTGCCATCGACTCTAGTGGGATTGTCTAATCCACTCTGACATACAATTGGCCATTCCATTCTCATCGATAAAACTCACCAAGCCCAACACCAACTGCAAGCCCTCCAACGACAATGATTCTATCTATGTTGCCAGATATAGGAGAGAAACATGTATGGACGATGCATCCGTCATCGGTGGACGATGGAATAGGGGAGAGTGGAGGAGGCAGGGAGAGAGAGAGAAAAAAAGGAGTGTAGAAGGTCGAATACAAACAAAATAGGAATTTGAACCTCGACGGGTGTTTAAATTTGAACAAAACATCGTTAGAAACACATGTTAACAATTAGTTTAACTGGTGTCAATACTCAATTTTTGCTCGGTCCACCGCCTAAACCTCCAATTCACCTCAAATACTCAATCAAACCCTTCCGATCCTTCTGAAACACCCAAAAACCCAAAAAATCCCAACTTTCAGCCCCAAAGTCCTCAACTTTATCGTTAAACCTACCTGATACCTATTTGATGGTCTCAATCGACCCCCACTTACACCTTAACCATTGAATTAGACACATCCATTAGATAAAAGACATCCCGAAACACCTGCCCATGAAGTTTTAATCCTAGATTCCCCTATTTGCCCTTCCATTAAACCAAGACTCCGTTCTGAAACATCTTGTTGACCTAAAATTCTTACGATCTTGACCCTCCAAAGCTAATTAGACATCACCATCAGATCCCAGACACCTCCAAATTTCTACCTATAAAATTTCAGCTCAAAACACCTTTATTTATCCCTTCATCACACATAGATTCCATTCGAGGCTCCAGATTAATCGAAATAGTCCCTTTTTAGAACTACCCGATCAGGGCCCATTTGGCGAAATCCGACCCCACCAAACAATTCAAAATTTCTAAAAACCTTACCCTTCCAAATTTCAGTAAAAAATACCCCATTTACCCATCCATAAAAAAATTCCATTTCAGCCAATTTTGTGGACATGCAAACACAAAACCACGATTAGGGCCACCTCAAACATATGATATTTGACCCAAAAATCCCCACCATTGAATCACCCGGCCTGACCCCTTTTAGACCCGGTTTGCCTCATTTTTTATAATTACCAAAATAACCTGAATTTCACCGAATTTACAAAACTGCCCCTCTAATATAAAATTAACCTAAACTTCTCGTTAAGGGAGATCAACTATTCACTCTCCTCTCCCGTTCGAACATCGAACCAGAGCAGCGGCGGCGATCCTTCCTCCCTCCACCGCCCTTTCTCCCACTCTCTCTTCTTCTTCTTCTTCTTCTTCTTCTTCTTCTTCTTCTTCTTCTTCTTTTTCTTCTTTTTCTTCTTATCATTCTTCCTTCTCTTTCCTCTACTTCCTCTTCCCCTCCTTTCTTCTCCTTCCCCTTTCGGCGTTCATTTTCGGATCGCTTTCCATCACTGTGATCTGGTCATCACCATAGCCACATCCATCGCATTTCCGTTTAGATTTCAGGTGACATTCACATTGGAAAGATCTCCTTCTCTCGCCAATCTCCCATTTGTATCCTTTGAGAACCACTGCTATACGAGATGGAAGTCAGCTCAAGCTCCCTATTGCAGAGTTAAGTTTCAGGCCAAAATCCCAGCCGAGTAAGTATCGTGATTACTTCTTTATCTTATCCTATTTCTGGGTTTGTTTTCCCGTTTTGCATTCGATAAATCAAGATTTGGGGGTGGGAAAAGTTCTGGGAGATGGTAATCAGTTCACTGTCGAATGAACTCATGTGAAACGTTCGACTCCAACTCGGTTGATGAATGGTTGTTACTTCCCTTGCTTGATGACGGTTGTTGTTTCCTGGAATAATATCGCCGATGATGCTGCTAATGTACTGTCCATTTCATTTATTTTTATTTTCATTTGAAGTTCAAAGTCAGCTCGAATAGGAAGATTTGAAGGTTTCGAATCCCTTGCATATTGTTATTCTCCTATCAGCTACCTTGTTCATATGTTAAATGCTGCATTAGACGTGAACAAGACTGGTATTATTTTCTGATTTGCTTTGTTTCGTTGCTTGTATATCTGCTGAGATTAGTTCTTCTTGTCTTCTTTTTAATGTCACCTGTTTTGTCTGCGTTTGAATCAAGTAGTCGCCGGGATTGATTTCTTAAGATTAAAAGGGGAAGCACTAAATTGTTTGGAGATAATGGACTCTGACCATCCGTGGAAGACTCCGGGTCACTGGAACTCGTTACCTGGATAAGAATAATGTAGTAAAAAAATAAAAAAATAGAAAAAGGGAAAATTATATAAGGGAGTTATAATGTAACGGAGGGTAATTCATTTGTCGTTAGATCAGGTTGGAATGAAGTGTAAGACAAGCTCGTTACAGAGAACAAAATAAATTAGGAACAAATAAAAAAACCAATATGAATAGACAAAGTAAATAGATAATAATAATAGCAAAGATGGTATGAAATAAAGAGTAAGAGAACAAAAAAAAAAAAAGAAATGAACAATTAGTGAATAAATAAACCATTAGTATTTCATTAGAAAAGTAAAGAAAATAATATGATTGATAAAAATAAAGGGAAGAGAAAATAAAAAGATGATAAAAGTAAAAAGATTAATAAAAAAGAAAAAAATAGCAATAAAAGGAATACAAATTCAATTAATTAAAGAAAAATTAAAAAATCACAAACAAAAAATATAAATAAAATAATACTAAATAAGAAAATAATAATAATAAAATAAAGAATATTTTTTTTATGATCTTTTGTTCTTTGTTTGATATTAATTAGTTTTATTTTATGGTTTGAATATTTGCTCTATTGTTGTTATGATTGTTTGGGACACCATGTGGGTCCCACCTATTGGACCTGGGAGAAGGGTGCCCAACCCCATCCCTCTTCTATCCGAGTCTTGCTCGGATTGGTTAGCCAGTGCCTTGGGCTTTGGAGTCACTAATGAACAAAAAATGCTTTTTGATGTAAATCTCGAAGGTCCCATCACCTCCATTTCCATAATTGATGAGTGGTGACTCCATTCCTAGCCCAAGTGAGCCGTTTTCCCGATGCTCACAATTGGTCTCCGTTACATTATGTGACATGGTGTAATATTATTGGCAGATGTAGAAGTTTTTCTACATCCTAGATGCAGATGATGTGAACTCTCTTTCAAGCCCCCTGAAAACCTTTTCAACTCACAACACTTTCCCTGTCACAGCGACACTCTCCCTCTCCCTCGCAACTCAGAAATGCTGCAATCCATCCTTAGAGCCGCCACGACCACTGTTGCTCGGACACGAAACTCTGTGAATGTTCAGAACGTAATTATCCCTACAACCACGATTCTCTCCTCTTATCAGTATTCTTCGAAGGCCTCTAAATCTTCCTCCTCGTCAAAGGGAAACAAGTCGAAATCAAAAAATACTTCGTCTAAGACCGATGACATTTCGGTCTCCGCAGGCGCAGGCGACGAATTTGACTCTGATCTATTAGATGAAGGTGCTCGCGCTCGCCGTCTTGTAGAGGATGAGAAACACAAGTCTCTTGACATCGGTCCCAACAATCGACCTCTTTTCACCACTGCCAAATCCATCTCTGAGCTCACTAGAAAGGATGTTTGCACTTACATGAAGTTCAGGTTTCTCTTTGCTATATACTTCATGATTCTACTATTCATATTAGTATTCATTTCCCTATGGTTGTTGGTTTATTTGTTTGTGACCATTTTCCATGGATGACTGTGGCGTAGTATGGAAGAACTAAATGCGTTTTTGCCAGAGGGGTTGCCAGTAGGAATGACAAAGGAGTTTGAAGAAAGCATGCGGAGTGCGTTGCTTGTTCGACAAAGTTTCTTAGATCTTCGTGATAACTTTAGGCGCATTGTTGATCCACCACTATGGTCTTTTGATGGTAAAGGTAAGCTTGGTATTTCCTTTATTTTTTTGATGCCAAGCTTGGTATTTTCTTTTATTCTTTATATAATTATTTATGAATAATAATAAATATCAATGCTCGTGTTAGGGAGCATTGAGCTATATCCATTTTGGTTATATGCTTGAATTTTGATGCGGACAATCAAGTCAGGCTATAGAATTGGAAAAACAAACTTTATGATGGAGAGATATGTAGCCACACAAGTAAATAAGCAAATACCAACCCAGAAACAAGTAAATGAGTAATACTACAATTTATGTGGAAACCTTATAGGAGAAGGAAAAAACCACGGGGCAACGTCGAGAATATTCCACAACAATAAAAAAGTAGTACAATAATCGTCTTATCAAGTTCTTGATAAAAAGTTGAGGTTTTACAATAGAACAGGAAAAAAGTACAGGGTTACCCTTTTAATGTCTCACAAGAAAATAAAATGCCCACAAAAAGAACTACTCCAAGTTTCCAAAGAGAAAAAAATTCGGAATACATTGAAACATGGGGCTACTATTTAGTCAACAATGTTGATAGAATGCAAAATCTGGTGGAAATATGACATCCGTCAATAATTAAAAAAGAACCTCAAGAATTCTTGCATCTCTGTTTTCTCAACTCATTCTTGAGTAAAAAAAAGCAAACGCTTCACTCTTCACGGATGCAAAAGAAACCTCCCTCAAACTTTCTCTCACCAAAAGTTAAAGTGACTCTCATGAATTACTATTGCATACTGAGAGTAAGTGAGAAAATATCTTCCTCATCATCTTCACCGCTAGTGGTTGGATCCATCTCATGGGTCTGGACCACCCCATGATACAACACAACATGGATAACATATCTCTTGGTGCTTATGCATTGGAACTTGTATCAGGACAGATTTGTCAATCTGTATAAGAAAAATCCTAATTGGAAAGATAACTTCGTTTTATTCTTCCACTCTTGGATATACGAGTCAAAGATTTCAAGTACAGCAGATACATTGAAATTCTCTCTTCTTCAAATATCTGGTTGTGCCAACTAATGATTTATATGTTATCATCTGCGAATTCGAGCTTATATGACTTTGCATTAGCTGTTAAGTTTCCAACATTTTCAGTCTATGTAAATTATAGCTGTTAATGTTGATATTCTTTCCATGTGCCTAGGTCCAAAACCTAAAAGGCAGATTGTCTTAGATGGTCCTGTTAGCTGTGGAAAAAGTATTGCACTTTCTATGCTTGTTCAGTGGGCTCGCGAGCAAGGTTGGCTGGTTTTTTATATCGCAAAAGGTAAAGAGTGGACACATGGTGGATTCTTCTATAAAAACCCACAAACTGGTCTTTGGGATACTCCTGTTCAGGCTGCAAAGATCCTCCAGGTATGAATTTCAGGACTTTCCTCAGCTCAAGTGAAATTAAAAGATTCATCAGTGGTACATGAAGTGTAATTAAATTTCCCACTGCTTCCATTCTCATAACTAAGCATAGTGATTTTGACTTTTTAAGTTCTTTGTGAAGTAGATATCAACAGTGTCTGCAGTCTTCCCTTGCAAGTGTATCAGTTATTCCATGCTGAAATGAGAAAACACATTTAAGAAGCATACCTAGATTTTATACTCATTCTATTTTATTTTGTCCATGCGTTGATCTAAATTTACATTGTGATAAATTCCTTACAGAAAGCAATAGTTTTTTTTCAGAAAATTCCCCAATCTTCTACCAATAAAAAAATTCCCATCTCCTCAGAATATGCTATATTTTCTTATTTTCTCAAAAGCTGAAAATTCTTGGATTAGTGATTGATGTCCAGAAATGTCAGAATGCTGCAGTCCTATGTTTAACTCTCTCTCTCTCTCTCTCTCTCTCTCTCTCTCTCTGCACACATATATGTCTGTGCATGTGTACATGTGTGTGTATAAACAAACACATCTGTTCTTGTTATGGGCAACCTTATTTAATTTTCTGTCACCCTTTTTGACAGGAAAATTGTGAAAGTAGTTGTAAAGAGGAACAAGTGCCTTAAAGAATAGATTTTAGCATTGTATGTATTAGTATTTTAAGAGTTGATTACTTCTTATGCTTGAAACTTTTAATACTTAAGAAAAAAAGTTTTAGACAATGATACCCCAGAAACTACTAAATGTAAGCTATTGCTGCTTGAAGTTTTAATTTATTGATTTAACCGTCTCCAGGATTTTTTGAAATTTAATGAATCTCGCTTACAACAAATACCTTGCCAAATCTTTGATCCTATTCCACTGGGAGAGGGTGCTGGTGTTGGTTGGATGAAAGGCGTTGATTCCATGGCAATGCCTGAAGGCTCCACATTATATGATCTGGTTCAAACAGGCCTAACTTACACACATGCTGCCGTTGGGGTGGTAGTTCGTTTGAGAAAAGAGTTATCACTTGTGAAAGATATTCCTGTGCTCATTGCAATTGATCAAGTAAGATCAGAACCACCACCATACAGTTTCATTATCATTTAGCGTCCACTCTTTATCAGTGTTGAAAATTTGAGATTTGTTTTGGCTTATGCCTGTTAATTTTCCCCTTCCAGTATAATAGTTGGTTTACATTCAGCGAGTATGGGGAACCTATAACAGCTCGCTCTTGGCGGCCAATTCATGCTAGAGAACTTGCGACGGTTGGTTCTGATGCTTTTATTTTTATTTATTTTTCCTCGCTCATTATTATGCAGGGCTTTCTAAATGTCTCTTGCAGAATTAAATAACCTGCCACTTTCTGACCCTTGAAAACTCTGGATAGGCATTGTTGGATAGACATAACCGCAATGCTTTTGAAATTTGACTTTTGAGTTTTGCCTATTCATCACTTGTTTCTGCTACATTGTTGGATTGACATAACTACAATGTCTTTTGGATCTATGGTACTTGCTTCTTATCTGATATGCAATTTTGGTTGTTTTTTTTTTATTTATAGAAGGCAGGATTATAAATGCTAGTATATATAATTTATGTGATCGTAATGATAAACGGACTCATCCTTCATTTTCTTGTTATTTTGGCTAGCAAAAACTTTTAATAAATTACGAACAGAAACAATTTGTACAAAGATGCAAAACATTCCCAAATTAGGAGCCAGTTACCCCTTCTCCTTCAGGTTTCCCTAATAAATATAGTTTTTACATCACTGATTCCCTAAAGAACTCGAAAACATTTCTCTTCTCTCTACCACTTGGAGTTCTCTCTACCCCTAAAGAACTCCAAGTGGGTACCCATCGTACATCATGTTGGTTGTTACTTAATGATCACACCATTTGAAAATGGTATGAAACCATAGATGCTAATTATTGATAAGCATCTACAGAAAGGCTATGGAGGTTTGGTTTAGAGAAGGAGAAGGAATCTTTATGGCGGAGGATGGTGGTTGGTAAGTATGGGGTGGTTGGTTTTGGATGGGAATCAAGAGAAGTTTCATCCTCTTTCGGGGTCAGTGTTTGGAAAGGGATCATGAAGTTTAATCAAGAGTTTAGATATCTCATTTGCTTCTCAGTGGGGGATGGAGCTAGAATAAAGTTTTGGGAGGATGACTGGTGTGTAGGAGAGGCTGTGTGAGATTTGTCCAAGACTTTACAAGCTGGTTGCTCATGATGTTCCCATCAGCCACTGTTATGAGATGAGGGGGGATAAGGTGATTTGGAGCCCTAAGTTCAGGAGGCCCCTTTGGGATGGGAGGTGGAGGAATGCCTTAGTCTGCTAGAAGTTCTGGAAAAGTCAAAGATTTCTAGTTCTTCAAGGGATGAGCTGTGGTGGCGGAAGGAATGTAAGAATGGGAAGTTTACGGTGAAGTCCTATCTAGCTTTGATCAAGGATCATCTGGGTGAAGATAAGTGCAAAAGTGTGTGGGGTAATCCAGTCCCACCTAGGGTAGAGGCTTTTGCATGGCTGGTAGCTATGAATAGCATCCTCACCATTGACCATCTTAAATCCAGAGGCTTTTATCTGGCAAATATGTGCCTTATGTGCAAGGAAAGTGAGGAATCAGTTCTCCGCTTGTTCTTTTCTTGCAGGGTGGCTGGATTGTGTTGGAGATATTATTCAGCCCTGTTCGGCATGGATCTGTTCCTTCCTGGTTTTCCGGCTGAAATATTTCCCAAGTGGTCATCTTTTAGTAGTGTAAGAAAGCCAAAATAGTGTGGAGCTGTTTACCATTTGCTGCCTGTTGGTTCATTTGGAGAGAAAGAAACAGGAGAGCAATTTGAAGAGATTCAGTTGGAGTTAGAAAAGATTGCGGCGTTTATTGGAAGGGCTGTAACTGATTGGGTGCTTGTTTTACCTGAATTTGCTCATGTTTCTGTGTCAGATTTAGGGTCTAATTTCTGGAATGTTATCAAGATTCAAGAATGTAACCCACAAAGCTTATTGTAACGAGTACTTGTCATCTCAACACCAGTCTGTATACTATGCTGTTTTATTTGAATAATTTTTTTTTCTGTTATTTATAAAAATAAAGAAGACTACTGGGAATTTTTCTCTTTGTAGGTCTTATCACAATAAATACCAACCAGAGACATGGAACTGTAAGTTGACATGTGCATTCGCAAAGATTAAAAACTGAGGAATGCTAATAAGCAGTTGTAGGATGTGGTCACAATAAATACCTACACCAGTACTTCAAAAAGATACTATAGAAGACAAAGGTTTATGACTTTTTATTCATCCTACCATATCAAATTTTTCTTCTAGTGTGTCTTTTAGCAGAACTGAGGTGTGGTCATGCACCTAGCATTTTGCATGCTATTTAGTGGATGCAACTTGTTTGATTCTCTCTCTGTTTCTCTCACACACACACACACACACAAACACCCAGCTTCTTATTTATAATAACATGATGTAAATAAAAGAAAAGGAAAATTCATCTAAAAAAATAAAAGAAAAGAAAAATACAATCTTGCCCCTGGTGGCACACCCTAATAACAAAATAATAAACAAAAGAAAAGAACATGCTGACAGCATCATAAACTGACAGCACTCTAACAGCAGAAACAAAATGACTCAAAAACAACTCTAACAACAGAACAAATGGCCAAATTTACAAGGAATTGACTTGCAATTCCTGAACCTGTTACGTCTACCTTTCAGTCGAAACAACTTGGTGGAGTTGAGATATGAAATGTTTTAACCAGTGTTTTAAAAGGCGTGGGAGGTGTGCGCGTGGAGGTGCTCCCAAAATGCCCTGAGGCATATGCCAGAGGCGCTGACACCTCTGAGGCGTACACCTCAGGTGCAAGAGGCATACGCCTCTTGCGTTTTTTTCATGAGGCGTGCTAGAGACGTACGCCTCATTCACATCTGATATAAAAAGACAGAAAAAAAAAGGGAAGGAAAGGAAAAGAAAGGGAAGGGAAAGAAAAAGAAGGAAGAAAAAAAGAGGAAAGGAAAGGAAAGGAAAGGGAAGGGAAGGGAAGGGAAGGGAAGAAAAGATAAGGGGAAAGAAAGTGGTTTGCCCCCTTCCCCTTCGGTGCCCTCCAGCTCCCGCCCCCCTGTCAACTAATGTTATGCATCTTTATTCTTCTTAATATAAAAGATTTTTATTAAAAATAAATAAAAAATGAGATCCCCCTTTCCTCTACATCCTCTTAACCCTCCTCTTAAGGAGGCTTACGCCTCATGCCTCTACGTAGTGGAACGCCTCGCGTCATGCCTCCACGTTTTAAAACATTGGCTTTAACTGAATCCGTGTGGATATTACTGGATTCAAATACCACAAGAAAATAGATAGGAAGTGAGCCAAAGCCACAAAGAATCGCCATAGCAGCCCCATGTACTTAATGTGTTTCCCAAGTCAAATAAATTCTGGCCGAGTTCAACTCATCTTTATAGTTGTGTAAAAGCTGCAAAGCTCTCGAAGCTAAAATCGTTCTCCATTCTCTCTCTGAAGCTGTTAATATTCTTGTTAATATAATTTTTTGAACAGCAATTGTAACCAGGATTTTGTTATATCGCATGGATAAAAAATCCCAATCTTCTGAAGTGTTTTGAAATGAAGGTGACCAGTACAAACAGCCAAAATCTGACATACATAAAAATATCACCAAAAAATCAATGATTTACATATGAATTCCAAGGGGTGCTCCCCATTACCAACTTCTCCTTAATGACACCTTCCCTATCTAAAAAGTCCGTAATGTAGGAGCTGAAATTGAAGAGAATTAATGGACAAAGAAATGTTCAGATTTTGAGAAGAATTTGAAGCTGAGGCTTATAGATTCAATGACTCCTAAAGGGAAGTTCATTAGGACTTGGGAGGTGCTACCATGCTAGGTGGTCGAAGTGCAAAGTTTCATTCTTTAGAAACTTACTATTTTTAGTAAAATACTTAATTTATCTTATTTTTTGGACTTATTAATTTCCACAATTGTTATTTATAGTAAAATTGTAATTTACTCTTTAGTATTTTTTTTTTTTTTAATTTAGGATGTGGCTCTTACTGGTTCTGAAGTGTTTGTGTGAGATGAGATAATTTTGGGTATTAGGTCAAGTAATCTAGTTTTAATAAACCTTTTTCTCTTGGCCATTAAGCGTTTTAGTTTGCTAAGGAAAGCATAGTCCTGACTTATCCCAGAACTTTATAAATCTATTGTATGGCCTTGCTTAAGAGATGGAATGAATATTATTTGATCACCCCATGCTTTTCTCTGTTGTACCTAGCTTATAGGGTTACACCTTATGCTACTAAAAGTTGCACCTCGATTGGTTTTTCAACCTTATGTTAACACCTTAAAAATTTCACTTTTCCTCCATTCTAAACCCATTGTTCTCTTCCCTATACATACTAAAACCATCTTAAATCAATTTTTAACCATTCAGTAGCTTAATTTCCTTTATAATCTTATACATTTCATTTCTTCTTGTTCATTAATCCTGTAACAGATTTGATTTCTGGGGTTTTCTCCTATCTGTTTTATATCAGTCATATGTCCCATTTGTAGATCTTGAGACCATCTGAATGAGAAATTAGATTGCTTGACAAAGTTTTTTCTTCTCTAGTCAGAAATCTAAAGGATCAGGGACCATCCACTCTAGTTGTGAGCCAGCCTATCCACTTGGCGGTCACACCTTCCACTGTCAAGCCATTCCAGCCCATAGAGTAGGCTGATTTTCCCACGGACTTGTTAGTTTTCATCCATACAGTTTTATTCTTTTGGATTTTGTTTTTTAAACAAGGGCACAAATAAGGGGTTGGCGTGGAGAATTAAATGGGGGGGGGGTGTTCTGCCTCTCTGTGATAGCTCTAGAGCTTTGCCGTTGGGGGTGAAACACTTTGTGTTAACATCTCAGATCTCCCGTCAAGAGAGTCTACACCTTTTGTATTATTACTTTCAGGAACTAATAAGGTTCAATAAAGGCATTTGTTTTGGTATTTTGATCCATGAGATTATGGGGATTACAAGGGAAAATGCTATAGTCTAACTATGATATGTTCAAGCTCTAAAGTGTCTCTGCTACTTCGCTTAAAAGCAATGGACTTGGCACTAACATACCCACCTAATAAGGCAGATGGAGGTGGTTGCTCGGCCCACTATTAAGGTAAATGGATGTTATAAAGAAGAGACGGGGAGATGTGTTGGCAACAATTACTGCAGTGCACACATGTCTTTGAGAACTGATAATTTAACAGGTATGAGCTGTTCAAATGGAAGATTCTGCAGAAATAAGGATCTGGTGCCAAGGCTGTGATTAAAAGTAGGGCATAGAGGGGTGAAAAAGGAATTTCATTTAAAGAGATAAGGAGGGGTAATTTTGGTATAAAAAAGTGAATGGAATTTAAAGAGTTGGGTGGAAAAAATAGGAAAGAGGCAGACAAAAGAGGTTTATGAGCAGGTTGTTACAAGATATATTTGAGAGACCGAAGAGAAGATCAGTAGTGAAGAACATAGAGTTGCTGGTACGAAGGAAATTGAGTTGTCAAAATGAAATGGATTTGAGATAGACTGGACCAAGATTTTTCAGGGATCTGATGATGAACAGAAGTTGTTGGAGAATAGAGACGAGGATGGCGATGTACACAAGGGTCCATATAAGGTGCTGGAGGTGGTTCCGTTTATGCCAACTGGAAAAAACTCACACAAGGTTCAGCTTCTGACAGCTGTGTGAGGGTACATATTTAGATTGTTACAACTGATTCTTTTTGAACTTTGAGTTTGTAAAGGAGGATGGTGTATTAGAGGCGGAAGCCAATTGTTGCTATCAAGAGAGGGGATATTGAGGATTCCATGGAAATAATTTATCTTAATGCTTTCGGTGGTTCTTTATTGAGTTGCAATGAGAAGCTTTTTGGTGAAGTGATAGTAGGAAAATTAGGCAGAGATTTGGGCCAAAGGAGGGAGTTGTCATATCTTTCATGTTACCAAGGTCTTCTCATGCTTAAAAGAAGGCTTGGTTGGGGGCTGGTCCTTGCAACAAATTTTAAAAGGTGTGCAAGAAAATGGGAGTGAAAATTAAAGCTAAGAATAAAAAAGTGAAGCTTATGATGATAAATATAGTGTTGGAGATGAAATATTGGAGGAAGTGGAAGTTTTTTTTTTTATTTTTTTTGATCAATAACTGAAAAAGTTTTTATTAAATCAGATAAAAAAGAGAAATACAAATGAAGCTCCGAAAAGCCTCCCTTTACCCACAACAAGATTACAAAGAAGCCCAAAAGAGATGTTCCCTAAAAACCCTTTGTTTAGCTTAGAGTATCTGCCAGACCATTTTTGATCTTTTTACCCATCTAAGGTGGCTCCTAATTCTCTTGCCAATTGCCTAATTTCCCTCATAGCCTGTTTGTGGATCCAACTCTCTTGACTGTTGTTGTTCATCCAACCCACAAATTAGCAAGGAATCCCCTTCACCTCCAAATGCCTAAAGGTTAGCTGCTTTGAGAAATGCAATCCATGTGGCAAAGGTGAAACTTCTGCTGCAAGAGAATCTCTGATTCCTAAAGGCCTGAAAACATTGCCAAGGTTGATCTTGTGCATCCCTAAATACCTATCAATGCCTGAAGTTCCTGGGTTCCCAAAAGAACTTCAATCAGAGTTTCAGTTTAATCCTGTTAGAACTTGGGGGAACCCAAAGAGCTTTGAGGTCTTCAAAGTGGAGGATGCAGCAACCACTCCCCATTCTCTAATAATATCATCCACTGTAAAGCTGTTGGAGGAGGTAGAAGATTAATCAGTGAAGGTAGGTGTCAGGTTGGTTGGTAGATGGTGGTGTTCTTGTTAGGCAAACTGGGGTTCAGAGTGGTGCTCCGTCGGCTGGTTTGGGTTTCAGGTTATTGTAATAGTGTTATGTTTTCTGGCACAAAATTATGATAGTAGGTTGGTTATTAAGTTTTTCTTGGTTCTGTGAAGGTTTGTGAAATGTGTAAGAATTGTTAGTGGGGGTGGTCTATTTGCCTTTTTGTTTGAGGGTGCAATGTGGGTGAAATTTTGGGGTGTCTTTTATGGTTGATGCCTTATTACTCTATTTCTTGTAATTCCATTTTCCTTTAATGATTGTAATACCATTGCATGTACTCCCATGTTGTGCTAGTTTTCACTAGGGAATATGTTGATTCCAGTAATATTTATGTCGGTACCCATGGAAATGGAAAGATGTTGAAATATTAGGAAATATGCTGACATTTAAAACCATGGTCCTGTCAAAGCATTTGCTAGTCAATGAGTGGTTGACCAACTAGTCAGTTGAGGTTATAGCATCTGCATCGTTCACCATTCAGTTGATACCTATGATTTATTACCCGGTATGACTAGTTTTCAACTAGACCGACTAGGTTGGCCAATGGCTATGGAAAGATACTTTTAAGTTTTTTTTCTCCTTTATTTGACATTATTTGGCTACCATAAAGATTAATGCCTTTGTGTTATAGGCATGGAGTTACTTTAAGTTTTTAAGCATGTATTTGATTGATGGTATATAAAAATAGAAACAAGGGATAAAATAAAAGGTGAACACTGGATAAAAGGGTCTTTTGGTTCTTCTTCCAAATTTCCAGTTTGTGGTGTTGGCAAATGAACAAGGGGGTCATAAGGCCTATGAAAAACAAATGCCATCCCCCTCTCTCCTAAGCCACTAACAAATACTGAGATTGCATGTCAGAATTATGCATACATATCTTTTTTGATTACTCATAATACTTTCTGCTAATGTATCTTTAATGAATTTGTGTTTTTGTTTTTCTTAAGAAGTTTAGAACTGGTTCTCCTTTCTTTTTACCTAGATGGTTGTATGCTTTTCAGCTTTTGCATTATGAAAATTCTTTTATCTAGCTATTAATACAAAATAATAAAAAGTTTACATGATATTGCATAATTAATCTTAAACATGTTAAACTTGGCATGTATCCTTTATTGTTTGTTGGTTGACTAGTCAGCGTAGTTACCAACTAGTTAACTAATGAATGCATCAAATGGCCAGGGGAAAATGACTAGTCATTGCCTTGTTGTGTTGACAACATTGGGGCTGCCTGCAACATGGGGGCACAGCTAGGTCTCGTAGGCTGTACTACAACCCTTGTTTTTATTTGCTTAAGACTTTAACCAAGGTCCACAAGTCTGTTTTCATCAATCTTGGTCCTTATGTCCAGTGTCCAAGTCAATCAGTGGCAAAGTTGGGTATGCAGAGCAACCTCCATTTGATCTGTACATTATTTGGACTGAAAGGGAGAACATATCCGAATCCGATTGGCTGTATTTTGGTAGTTCTAACATTTCTGTGTTTTAGAGAGGATGTGTCCCTGTGGAAAAGTCTGGTGAGATTTGTCTGGTGAAAACAGTAAGGGTTTGATGTTAATTGTTTATTTCCCATAAAGATCATGGACGTTTTACAGAGTTGTTCATTTGTTCTCATATAAATAAACAAGAGAAAGATACTTACCAAAAAAAGAAAGAAAAAACAAAAAACATCTTCTCTTCAAGTGTTTGCTTGTGGCATGGGGCTTGCAAGCCAGAAAAAATGAATGCGAAATAATTTGAGGTATATGCAGAACCACAATTCCACCTGATGCTTCTGAAATAAACATGTATCTTCTACTCAAGCTTCTTGGTTGGATTATTGGGTTGTATCTTATCAAATGCTTCAGGAAAAACTGATATAATCAGTTGCTGCATACCATTACTTTTGGTTGATAAATTATATAGAGAATTGAACATGAAATGTGGTAAGAAGCCATCATTTAAATAATCGGTTGGCATTTTTCTTGTAGGTTAGTGCATTTCGATCAATGATGCATAATGACATGATGGTGGGGGCTTTTTCTCATTCAACGGCTGTTGGCAAACTACGTAAAGATCTCCCAGATGTTCCACTGGATGCTCGGACTAACTTACCTCGATATAGCTTAGATGAAGCTGCAACTGTTTGTCATTACTATCTCAGGTATGGATATTAATGTTCTGGTCATTTTGATTTTCAATTTATGTTATTTACATTCATGTGCCTACAGCAACGGAGGGGGAGCCCCATGGTCAGCCAGGATTTAGTGAATGACCCCACCTTTGCGGCTGGTGGCCTTTCTTATTGTATCTTGGGGCATTTCCACTCCATTATTAGTTAGTACAGTTGTTGATTTTAAAGATTCTAAACCAAGTGACTTCGAATTTATCAAGGGAATATAATTAATCTGTTGAGCTTCTTTCTTGTTAATGCATATCAATTCTATTGCTTGCGAGCTACTGAGCTTATCCTCAATTTAGCTTTACATAATGCTTTATGAGTTTGAATTGGCTCCCCACAGAGCAAACCCCACATGCCCCCCCCAACAGCACATCTCAATGTGCATCGTCATGGGGAGATGTTCCAATGCACGGTTGTGATGTGCTATGGGCAAGGTTCAAAATATTGATACGCCCGGGCGTATCGGGCGATTCAATACTTGTTTTTTAACTGTTTTTTTTTTTAATATTTTTTTTCAAAACTGGTTCAGGGGAGCCGGTCTAGGACCCCTCCATTCCCTGAACTGGTCAGACCCCTGATACACCCACTGTAGGGGCGTATCGGAAGGGTCCCGGCGATACATAACGATACTTTGAACCTTGGGGCATGCTTTGTTGGGGGGGGCATGAAAATTCAATGCTTTATATGTTAGGACTATATGCTGATTTCTTATTTGACAGGCAAAGACTGATACGCCGGGAAGCATTCTCTGAGGAAAAGTGGAAGAAGATATACTACTTGTCCAATGGAAATGGTGCAGAGATGAGGTGGTTGGTTTCTTTTATACAGTGACTAATCCAAGTTGGTAGTGTTGATATATGATTGGATTGTCCATGAAGATGCAAACAGGCAAGCTTTCCTTTTTTCAGTGCCGCTTGAGCTTTGATTGCTTAATTAGTGATTTAGGTTGAAATGCATCGTTAGAGAAAACTTACCCTCCACGATGATATCAGTTATTGGGCAGAACTAGATTTTAAAATCAGCAATTCACCTTAGGATTACCATTTGACTGCTCAATAAGTCGCCTCTTTATTCTGATATTCCAAAGGTTTTTAGACCCTTATTTGGATGTATCATGTATATCTTATCTATATTTGCTAAATAGTTACGTGATGTAACGACTTTACACTCAATGACACATTAATAAGTGATAGCAGTTGGTGTCTCAACCGCCTGGGTCAACCAGCTATGTTTGTTAACATTTAAAAGTGGCAGAGAAAAACGTTTTGGCTAAAGAGCTAACCGGCCTTGTACTGGGCTTCATTTGGTTGCCAATAGAAAATCGGAGAATGAAAGAAAATAAACAAAGAAATGTTAAAGATGTTTTAATGTTTTATTGTCAGAATGAAATATTTGACTTTAGCCGCTCATCTTTCACATTTTACTCGTTTTTTACATTTTCAGATAATTTTGCAGGAAAAAATAAGTACAATTTCAGGAAAGCTATTGAAATAAAAAAGGGAGAATGACCGATCAACCCAGGGTTAGAATTTGTAGGCTCAAAGTATTGTCGAGGTAGGTGTCAGCTTGGAATTGATGCCAGTTCATGGGCGGACGTTGGTGCATAGTGGGTTGTGGTCTTTTTGAATGTTTATAGTTCTGTAGTGTAAATCAGAAATCTGCATTGGGCAAATCCGTACTTCATATAAAAAAACCTAGGTGTTTAAGCTCACTTTTAGGCCGACCAAACATTTATTTTGGGACTTGTCCTCTGGGCAACCAAACATATCGTCTTGAATAAGTGATAAAACTGTTCGATGGGAATTTTCTATCATGGGCCTCATGGTCAACAGAAAAAGTTTATTAAACACCATTGATGAAAGGGAATGCATGGAGATACTTGCGTTAGAGTTGCTGTCCCCTATTTCCGACCAAGAATGTAGTGACTACACTTTATCAACAAGTGCCTCGACTTGTCTTCTTAGCTTTGCCATTTCCTCTTGTGTTTTGTTGTTGAGTTCCTGCTCCATGATGTGAGCTATTGGTTTTTTCTTACGAGTCATAGTCTGAAAAAAGATCAACTTGAACTCTGATACTAACTGATGCAAAACAGAAACGAAGCACGTGAGAAAAACTTTAAAGAAAAGAGCAGAAGTCGAATTTTAAGAAGAATTATTTACTAAACAATTAAGAGAAAATTGATAACAAGAGAACTGCATTAGCCTTCCCTTAGCTACTCTTAGCATACACCCTTATGACTCTTATTCCTAATATGAAAATACTCTTTAATAGAATCCTACTAAAACTCGTTAAAAAAAGAGAATCCTAATCTAAGAAAACACTTGAAAATAAAATCCTATTAAAATTTTTCAAAAGAAAAGTCCTAATTGAATATAAATTCAAAATAATGTTATCTTGGTAAAAATGAACTAAGATGGGAACTTTTTGGTGGTGCCAACTTGGTAAAAACATACTAAAATAGAATTCCTGTGATGATGCTATCTTAGTAAATATTTATTAAGCTGGGTCGGTATTTTTTTGGTGATGCTATCTTGGTAAATATTTACTAAGAGGAGTTGGTGGCGTCATTTCTACTTCTCATGTGTCTTGGAATGGTCTCAACTTGCATAAAATTTATTGGCCTTCTCTTGTACTACATCAACATCATATTGTGTTGCTATCTGTAGGACCCTACTTCGGTCGGGGAGGGGCCATTCCTTTCATATGCCTGCTAGAAAAGCGGAGACAAGTAACCCTAGGGGACAGGGTAGTAATGACCAATTCCACTGATTCCACATGCGATGCCATTTCCCCTACAGGCAATGGTGTTGGAGACTCCTGCTTGCCCTCGGTCTGGCTCTCCTGTGCATGTGATGAAGCCACATTTGAGCCAATAGACTGGCACAAACGAAGTTTGGAAGGAGCGAGGTGCCCTCACAAATCTTGGCTTCTTCGTAATAGGAGGAGGGTTACTCTCTCCCTCCTCAAAAACCGGCCATTTCCCTTCGTGCTTCGTCTTCCCTTCCCTCGACGAGTGTGATGGAAAGGTGACCGTTTTGTCACCCTTGTTGGTAGCATGGCCCTCGGGGGGCGCCAAGACATGGCGAGGGTGGGGGCTCATCAACTCTTGAAAACCCCAAAGTAGTGCGCAAAGGTAGGAAAACCGAAGTGATTTATAGTGTTGAGCCCTCATAAAACCTGCAATAGGGAATCTCAAATCCCTAAGAAAAGCAAGGCCATGGCGCCGGGTCCAGAATACGTATTCCCCCAAGGACGTAAAAAATTGGGCACCAATGTCATCGTACCCAAACTGCCGCAACACCCAATCTGGTTGGTATACGGCCAACTGTTCTTCGCTGGTCCGATTTCCACGGCACAATGCTGGTCACCATCTTTTGGAACAGGCATGCCAATGCAGAATGACATAGCATGCTCAACGGATTGAACATAGGGCCTCCATATGAAAGCATCGAACGAAGTGAGCTTCATACCAATCTTGCTCATCTTAAATTGCTTATGCCTACTGGCCTGAAGCCATCGCTTAACCCGGTAGACCTCGAACACCTTCTCTTCAGATTCGTCCCCTACCATAGTAGCCACAACCACACGCAATGGAGAGAGCTCGTGAGGCGTAATATTGAGTCTGAGAGGTGGTCACACAGAAACATCCACAAAAAGGGGTACAAATGTAACTAATATGCCTCTTGCAATTGGGGTCCATAATCTGTTTCACGGTATTGTCCAGTTGTTTGCATAGATAACCCAAAAACATGGAAGCTAAATGGAGTTGGTGGCCACTAGCAACCAAGATGGCGAGGGGCACCAGAACTGTGCACAGCCCATAATTAGGGAGCCACGGGAAAAGGAATAGGGAAGCGACAAGATGACATTGGTTGTCCGCCCTACGTACTATTACGTCTCTTCCACCGCGAGACTCAAACCAATATTCTAACCATTGCTCTAATGGCAACTTCCCTCGAGAGGTGGTCTTGTCCACCTGAACCTTGAACACAACAATCTCCGCAATCAGCTCATCACAAAGACCCCTTAGATCATGAGGAATAGAATGAACATGTTGGAGATGCTAAGCAGAAATGGCTCCACCAATAGGCAACACCAACAATACAACCACGTCTTCCACTATAACTATGAACTCCCCGAACGCACTAATAAAGGTACGAGTCCGACAACACCAATGCTCTAGTAAAGGTTGAGCGTATTTCACACCCTCCCGCCCCTTCAAATCAGTGTAGCAATCCACAAAGTGTAGAAGGCCCGAGTCCTGCAACATCTGACAGTGCATAGGGTTCTCGAGCACAAACCCCGTCCAGGAAGTATAGCTAGTCGAGGACTTCGAGTTGTCAGTCTTGGGCTCTTGATACTTATAGGATATTGACCAGTCCAACTGGCCACAAAGACACATCAATTTAGTGCCGCTGATGACGTTGAACATACCACCTTTGCCCCTAGACATTGACAATGGGGGCCAAAAACCTTTTTCCCCATCAGCCACTATGGCTGCTTCCCTCTCCAACGGCAACTCCGCTGTATTGACTTCCATAATGAAGGCCGAAAAGGGGCACTCCAATTTCTTCTGTTGAGGAGCCATGTGAAAGGAATAGCGAACAAGATAGAAACAAAAGAAGGAACAAGAAGAGCGTTGAGATGCAACTGAAAACACACCCAGAGCAACACATGAATGAATGCAAGAGTAATCAAAGTAGGAAGTCGATGCGTTGCCTCCCGCACAACTTTATAAGGAGTTGTCACGCATCCAGAATACCAAACAATGCCGGAGAAGGCGAACATACACCAAAACGCGACCCCAAATGATGCTTAACGAAAAAGCAATCTAAAGAAAATTATCGATATACCCTCTAATAGGCAGAATGGAATGACGCATTAATTTAAATAACTCGCCACATCATCAACCTCCACTCTAAAAATGGGACACCAAGGCCATGCCTCCCACACAAACAAGCGTATTTATCACAAATGACGGCTAAACGACCCTAATGATAACAACCACGTCATTCAACATGCCCCCTCGGTTCCCAACAGTCGCTGAACACAACATGCTATCAGGTACCGTACTACCACCATGCTTAAAGAATCGCCTGACAAGCTTGGGGGCTTGTCGCCTAGGCCAGCACAAAATGTCCAAGTGCCTTTGAGCGACCATTGATAGAAAGGGGATCACCTACAACACAACTTCTATTCAATACCACAAATCCACGTAAAGGACCACCTAGCACATAAAAGGGGGGGGGGTTGCCCACATAGGTAAATGACACGTTACTGTCTTTTGCTAATTCCCTTCCTACCAATGGCCAGGGGGGGATGAAACACACAAACGAGGCATAACATTGCCCATTGGCAGAAAGGAAATCATTAAAAGACAAGGGGGTCTAAACTATGGAATGCAGGAAACCCCATCGAAGATCAGATACCCAATGTATGCCTAAGATTATGAATGCACAAAATGCACGACCATCCGAGTAACTGACTCCCAACTTGTTAATAAGATGGGAGGGCTGACAAAACCCAAAATTAAGTTTATACCATCTACACAAAATCGTAAGATAAGTTAAATCCCCAGACCCAATGCATAGAAACAAATCCACCGCAAGACCTAAAAACAAACGTGAAAGCCAAGTGCTTATTGATAAGCTCCCACTTACCGATAAGCAGGGGGGCTAATGTAGGTATATAGTGCTCACTCAGTCCCTCAGACCACAGTAAACACCACATTGATACCACATGGACGTTTGCAATCAGTCCGTAGCCAACCTTCCCTCTGCGATGAACCCACAGTGCGCATCGCAGGATCGCAATAAACCTATGGTTCATCGCGCGCCCTCGATGAGCCCATTCTTAGATCGAGCCAAAGCAAACCTGGGCTGAACCTGCGATGAGGTTCACATGCACTCGACCCTGAGATAAACCTTCAATCGTTGCGACACTACGGTCCGCTAAGAACCGCGTTTAGACACCACTTGCGTGCGTAATGTTGAGGAGACGAACGTGGCAAGGTGCCACGTAAGTCCAATAAGACGTCGTCCGCCAGACGATGATGTCACTAGCACCACATCAGTTAAGTAAGGCGCACAAGAGGTAGTAGCACACGTGAGTCATGAGGATCTCTGAGTGAAAGGAAAGCCGATCCTTGGAAAGATCCCCATAAGGACACGTGGTGAAACCCCAGTAGTGCCCTTAATGATTGACAATA